TCTATTTTGAGCATTCTGAGGAACCTCCATACTGCTTTCCACAATGGTTGAACTAGTTTACATTCCCACCAGCAGTGTAGGAGGGTTCCCCTCTCTCCACAACCTCGCCAACATTTGTTGTTGTTTGTCTTTTGGATGGTGGCGATCCTTACTGGTGTGAGGTAATATCTCATTGTGGTTTTAATTTGCATTTCTCTGATGATTAGCACTGTGAAGCATCTTTTCATGTGCCTGTTGGCCATTCATCTGAATTTCTTCTTTAGAGAACTGTCTATTCAGCTCCTCTGCCCATTTTTTAATTGGATTATTTGCTTTTTGTTTGTTGAGGTACGTGAGCTCTTTATATATTTTGGATGTCAACCCTTTATCAGATCTGTCATTTATGAATATATTCTACCATACTGTAGGATGCCTTTTTGTTCTATTGATGGTGTCCTTTGCTGTACAGAAGCTTTTCAGCTTGATACAGTCCCACTTGTTCATTTTTGCTTTTGTTTCCCTTTCCCTGGGAGATATGTTCATGAAGAAGTTGCTCATGTTTATGTCCAAGGGATTTTTGCCTATTTTTTTTTCTAAGAGTTTTATGGTTTCATAACTTACATTCAGGTCTTTAATCCATTTTGAATTTAATCCATTTTGAATCCATTTTGAATAATCCATTTGAATACAGTTTTAAAAAATTTGAATAAGAGAATGAAACTGAATCATGTCTAAAATGGGGTTAGACAATGCTTCAGTTTCATTCTCTTACACGTAGCTGTCCAGTTTTACCAACAACACCTGTTGAAGAGACTGTCATTTCCCCATTGTATGTCCATGGCTCCTTTATTGTATATTAACTGACCATATATGTTTGGGTTAATATCTGGACTCTCTATTCTGTTCCACTGGTCTGTGGGTCTGTTCTTGTGCCAGTACCAAATTGTCTTGATTACTGTGGCTTTGTAGTAGAACTTCAAGTTGGGAAGCGAGATCTCCCCCACTTTATTCTTCCTTCTCAGGATTGCTTTGGTTTTTCAGGGTCTTTCGTGGTACCATATGAATTTTAGAACTATTTGTTCCAGTTCGTTGAAACAAATGCTGTTGGTATTTTGATAGGGATTGCATTAAATCTGTACATTGCTTTAGGCAGGATGGCCATTTTGACAATATTAATTCTTCCTAGCCAAGAGCATGGGATGAGTTTCCATTTGTTAGTGTCCTTTTTAATTTCTCTTAAAAATGTCTTGTAGTTTTCAGGGTTTAGGGCTTTCACTTCCTTGGTTAAGTTTATTCCTAGGTATTTTATTCTATTTCATATATTTTTAAGTTAACAGTTTGCAAAGCTAAACCTGGCAAAAAATAAAATAAAGCCTAAAGGAAACTTTACTAAATTTTATCAGTTTTTAAAAAATTTTCTGGCTGCAGAGATCAAGATGAGATGGTAATCCCAGAACATTATCTATGACTAGCATTTCAAAAGCCCCCTGTCTCAGACTGGAATGCAGCACTCTCAATATTTATTAGTTTCTGTGACTAACCCAATATGTACCTATCATTATGTGATTCATTGAAACCCTTTCAGGTTGTCCTGCCTCCTGGGTTAATAATATTTTATGAGTTGCATAAGGAAATACTTTCTATTTCATGCTTTCATGTTCCTAATATGCAAGCTTCTGACTAACAATTACTTGCTTTGTCCATTTCTTTCAGAATTTTAAAGAGCAAGCTTAAGCCTTCCTTTTTTCCTTAAAAATGATTATAAAAAGTATTACAAAAGCATAATTTAAAAAGTGATTATAAAAAGTATACATGCTTATTGTAAAAGTCCAGACAAAATAGAAAAGTATAAATAACAAAAAGCCTAAATCTCCCTCCCCTAGGTAAATTTTCTGTACATGTAAATATGGTAATGGTATAGGTGTATCTGTGTGTGTGTGCGCACAATTTTGCATAAATGAAATCACACTATATTTGGTGTAACCTGCCTTTTTCAACTGAATAATTTATATGAACAGTATATTGAAGATATGTTTCTATGGCAGTAAATATAATTGCACCATCACTTAGAGGATGCTTAATGTTACACTTCTGTATGGATGACATACTCCCCTGAACTTTCTTGCTGTCAAGTGAAACAGAACTCATGCATTTTTTTTCTTCATTTGATAGCTTCCTTTTACCTTTGATAATTATGGTTGCCATTCCTTCTCCTTCTGAAATCAAGTTTCCTGAAAAATGAAATGTTTGTCTTCCCTGAAACTGTGATAACTGTGAGAAGCAATTTTTTACTCACTTAATTTGTCTTGCCTGCCTTGTATTCACAGATTGTTTGGGTGTTCAGTTTTGGCTTTGTTTTGCAGTAGATAGGGAGAGGGGCCAGAAAGTCTAACTTGAGTTTTGAGGTCAAATGAGATCAAGACTCAACAACCATTGTAGTTCTTTTGTCTGCAGAGACCTCAGGTCACACTTATGGGTGCTCTGGCAGCCTCGACAACAGGAAGGGAAAAATGAAAGTGTTCCAGAAGTCCAAAACAACAAAAACAAGTTACTAGAAAGAGAAAACAAAAAGGAGCATATTGAAGAAACTTGTAGTGTGCCTCCTGCAGTTTCTCAAGGTCTGAAATCAGCCTCTGCCCAATCTGTTATTCTCTGCTGTGGGGGCCTGTGCTTCGTGGAGTAGCTTCAGGAAGACACACTTGGAGAATGTTGCCTTGAAGTCACAGGACAAGTCACATTATAATAAATTGTTCTTGTTCTTTTATGGTTTCATGTGTTTGAAATGAAGTTAGGACCAGAAGCCTCTGTTATCTTGTGTTAATTGTGATTGCTACTTTTAAAATGCTCTGTGATGCATCTCACAAAAATGCTGATGTGGCATCCTGCCACATGCCAGCAGTAAATTCAGTTTACCATTGGCTAAATTGAGTTACAACCGGAGCCAGTATGCACTGAAAAAGCTGTTGTGTTAGTGCAGACAGAAAGGAATGGACGCACATACCTTTACATACCACCTAGGGGATCTGCCCAGTGAGCTGTCTTCTGGCATTTGTTGCCTACCTCCTCTCCTTGGTTCTCCACCCCGTTCCTGTCCTACTTCCTTCTCTCTCCCTGCTCCTTTTTTCTCCATCTCTCATCCTCTTCCTTTTCTCCTCCCTCTTCAACCTCACTCAGACAAGCAGGCTCTGACTTGGTTAGTTCATTTCTATCCAGTGTAGAGTCCTTAAAAGGCAGTTTTGGTTGCAGGCATTGGTCCAGTCAGTTGGAGCCAGGGGAGCATTTGTTTTGCTGGAAGTACACGTACGCTTTTCCCAGAAGGAACAGTAGGAGGCAGTGTAACTATCAGATGCATTTGACGCTTGAGACCTATTAGTTGAAGTGAATTGATTATTTATTTATTTATTTTTACTAAGAGGATATGTTGGAAAATACTGTTAAACTGTAGCACTGTAATTTGAAGATGTTATATGGAAATGTTATTAAAACCATCTAGTGAAATAAAGCGTGTCTTTCTTACACCTACAATTATGTAGAAAAACAAAGAAATAATTTTGTGGTGATAAGTACAACTCCAAATTCACTTTACTACTTCCTGTGTAAGTTATATATGTTTCCAGTAGCTTTGTATAGGTTTTTATGTCTGAAAAATTCCCAATATTTTATTTCTCTGCCTCAATCAAAAGGGAGAATTACCAAGATCTTCATTACACATCTTCATGGAGACCATTTCTTTGGCCTTCCTGGCCTCCTCTGCACCATCAGCCTGCAGAGTGGCTCCATGGTCACCAAACAGCCTATTGAAATCTATGGCCCTGCAGGGCTTCGGGACTTTATCTGTCGAACCATGGAACTCTCTCACACTGAGTTGGTCTTCCCTTATGTGGTCCACGAGCTGGTGCCTACAGCAGATCAGTGTCCTACAGAAGAACTGAAAGAATTTGCACATGTGAATAGAGCAGACAGCCCTCCCAAAGAGGGACAAGGAAGAACTATCGTACTGGACTCAGAAGAAAACTCATACCTTCTGGTTGATGATGAACAGTTTGTTGTAAAGGCATTTCGCCTCTTTCACCGAATTCCCTCCTTTGGGTTTTCAGTTGTGGAGAAGAAACGCCCAGGTAAACTCAATGCACAGAAACTGAAAGACCTCGGTAAGTGTTCTTTTTGCTTCCCATCAGTGGAGCTGTTGTTAACTGAAACTGTTAGAAGTGTCATAGAAACCTTCCTTTTCTGTCTCCCAGGTATAAAAGTGACATTTTCTCCACTTACTTCCTTTGCCCAAAGTTTAAGGGAAAAAAATGCTTCAAAGCAAAACCCAAATAGATATTTAAATCTTCTCTTCAGAGGGTCCACATTCTTAGTCTGCCTTTCCTCAGCTTAGACTACCTTGATTGGCAGGGTAGTTTTTTTGTCTTAGGTCTAGGCTCTTTATTTTTTTTATGTCTTCTTTGTGATATGTTTTCAGTGATGTCTTTGGCCTGAGAATTTTGCCGTAGCCCATAACCTTGCAACTGCAGCCATCTATTTTCAGGATTTTCCTTCTCTGTCAACTTTGCCTAATCATTCAAACCTGATTAAGTTACTTTGATGCTTACTTGTTACTTAGATTAAGTTACTCTGGTGTTTAGAACACTTTACCTCAACCGTTCTACCTATCTGGATTGACCAAAGTTGGAAGCAAGCACACAAAGATGGGCTTGGGCGCCATCTGAGGCTTCACATCCCCTGCATGCAAGGCTATTGTGTTTGGGGTCTTCAGCACTTTGCTGGAAGCAGTGTCCCGGTCCATTGTACCTCCAGCACCATTGCCTTCCTTCGCATGGCCACAGCAGGGTCTCTAAAAAGCATGATAGTATCTTTTGTATGTTTATTTCTTTATTTATATAATTTCTTCCTTCCTCCCCAGCTAAAACAAAATGCTAAATAGTGAGGAAATATGACTTGGCCAGAAGTATTCTTGTTATTTAAAAGCCTGTGGAAATACAACTATACTGGGACACTTTAAACAGGGTTTGTATTAGAATTAGTGAACACATTCTATTTGTAGGTTTTGTTCAGAGTGATGATAAGGTGTTATTCTAAATTAGTATGAGATTTAAGCCCGGTGTGGTAAATGTGGATCTGCCCCGATCTGCAAAGAAGATTGATTATGTATGATTGCATAAAATTCTCCTTGGTCTTGGGATCCAAACATTCCCCTCTAACAACGTTTTTTTAATTAAGCCAGTTTGTCATTATTTCAATGGACTCCTTAGTTTTACCCAAAGATGAGCTTATTAAATAAGGCATTCTCAAAAACTGTTATTCCCATGCACAGCAGAGTACCAGGGCTGTTATTTTGACTGTAATGAGTGAGGTCTTAGTGGGGTTTTAGAGCTTATTGGGACTTTAGAGGTTAAAATTCATCTGACCTGTGCTTGGAAAAGGTTCTAAGTACTAGAACAATGCTAGTATAAATAGCCAATACCGAACTTTTAAAAAATGTATAAATATTCGAGTTTTGCACTAGTAGTAAAATATTTGTAACAATTAAGAATTGGATGCCTTTTCCTATATGCTATTTGCTGTGCTGTTAAAACAGACTCTCTTAACAAGTCATAAATTCCATTCCTGTGATGTGATGTTATCTGCCTCCATCATTAGGTGTTCCTCCAGGTCCTGCCTATGGGAAGCTGAAAAATGGAATTTCTATTGTTCTGGAAAATGGAGTTAGAATTTCTCCCCAAGATGTCTTAAAAAAACCGATTGTTGGAAGAAAAATCTGCATTTTGGGTGACTGTTCTGGGGTTGTGGGTGATGGAGGAGTGAAGCTGTGCTCTGAAGCAGACCTGTTGATCCATGAAGCGACCCTGGATGACACCCAGATAGACAAAGCAAAGGAGCACGGCCACAGCACGCCACGGATGGCAGCAGCGTTTGCAAAGCTGTGCCAGGCAAAGAGGCTGGTTCTGACTCACTTCAGTCAGAGGTATAAACCAGTTGCCTTGGCCAGAGAAGGAGAAACAGATGGGATCGTGGACCTGAAAAAGCAAGCTGAATCAGTGTTAGATCTCCAAGAAGTGACTCTAGCAGAAGATTTTATGGTGATTGGCATTCCGATCAAGAAGTGAAAGCAGTGTTCCTGAATGTGTCCTGACTTGTCTGTGGTCCATTACTGACCAACAGTCAAGTCCAAAATTATTTGGGTCCTAATTATCCTGACAAGGATAGAGCCACATTGCTGAACTGACTCAGCCATGAGAGGGAGCAAGCTTTTTGATAAATCATTTTAAAAAGAAAAAAACCCCAGCATTCTTCTTAAAAGGCCAAACTTGACATGGTCGGTTACTCAGACCCACGTTGTGTCTTGTGGCTGCTGCCTCAGGTAGAAGCTGGTACCCTGTGCTGCCTGGGTTTAGCTTCTGCCGAACTTCACAAAGTACACGGGGCTCGTCCTTCCTGGCTGAAAATGGTATTTTAGCAGTCTGTTGAATCTGCTCATGTTATTAACAGAATAGAAATATAATGAGATATTGGACATGCAGGATTGAAGTTGGCATGTTAAATCTTGAATTCTTTACTGGAAAACTGAATGCATGATCAGGCTAGTTGTTTATCCTTCAATTAATATTTTATTGAATTTTCTGGTTTGGTTTAAACCTGTGGTTTTCAGCTAGGGGGTGTACCACTCCCCTAGACAGCATTTTGAAACTGTAGATATGTTTCTTGTCAAAGTGACTGAGGGGGGAAGCGGGACCACAGGGAGTAGTACTGGAATTTAGTAGGGGCTAAGGATGCCTGATCCTATGAAGTTGGGTCAATCCTATACAATAAGGAATTCTTTCAACCCAAAATGGAAGTTGCAGGCCTATTGTGATGCACAACAAGTTAGAACTTATACTCCCATTGTGAATATGTTTTATCAAAATTAGTGACATAATGAGTTGAACTAATAGGTAAGTCAGATTCTCCAACAAATCCTAAAGAACTAGCTAAATAAATAAGTTGAAATTGGAATGTCATGTCAGATATTATTTGACACAAATGAACCATGAGCCAGAGCTTATGAATTTGGAGGTAAAGAAATGGTATCTATTAGACTGAAGTTTAATTTGTGAGTCCCAATTAATAATTCTTTGAGCACAATTTTAATCAGTTTTCTTTCTAGAATAGCTTTTTCTTCTGAGCTGTCTGCTACCTCTCTTCTGTCTGCCATGGGGTATCTGACTCGTTTGTCTCACTATATTTCTCAAAATGTGTTACCTGGAAAGCTAGTCTCAAGTACTGATTCACTCAGAAGAGTTTCCTAATCAAATCAGTTTATGGCTATGTGTCCCTCTGGGAATGTCTGATTGCCCATTGATACTTAAAAATGGTACTGCTTGAGTGATCATAAATCAGGCTTTGGTGCCAGAAAGACCTGATCTCAGAGTCCCATTCTGTACTTTATGGTGGTACCTATGTGGTCTGGAGCAGATTACTCTATCTGAGCTTCAAACTGTTCATTCTAAAATGGAAAAAAAAGACCTTCCTCATAGGATCATTTTGAAGATTAACTAAGACAGTTCTTAGGAAGCATAATGATTTGCATTGAGAATCCTGCATATAGAGGCCTGTCGACTACTGAATCCCTTTCTCAGTCTTGTTTCATCATATAATTTCTGTTAACATCTCAAGAACCTAAAGACTTTATATTAAACATATTTAGAACTATTGTCATGGTATATACTGTTAAATTCCTTTGGGTTCTGGGGCTTTTTTAGTAAAAAAAATGTTGACTCCTGGATGGTTCTTGAATTCCTAGAATAGCAATAATCATGATGGGTCTAGTTATTCAAGACCTCGGTCATTCTGAAGCAGTCTCCAGAATCATCTGATTCTGGCCTATTCTAGTTCCTTGGCTCACCAAAGCAACCAAGTTTGACCAGACTTTAAGTGTATCTTGATTTCTGAACTCAATTCAAACAAGCATTTATCAGACAGTTATTGTGTGCCCAAACCTGTACAAGAAGGAATGGCTAGTACTAGTACCTCTACTGCATGGAGTTCTTAAGGGCAGACTGTATCTTAGTTACCTCCACATTCTTGGAAATACCTACCCATAGTAAGCACTCAGAAATGTTTGTTGAATGAAATAAGACTTTGATACCATTTCATACCATGTGCAAACTTTAGGGCCTGTGCCTAGCCGATTTCATTACTGTCTTTGTCCAAAAAAAAAAATACTCCAAGTTGGTAGTATCCCATTCACTGAGAACCAACTACTTAGTTTAATAAAGCCAGGCTTTACTGTGTTGGAAGTATGTAAATGAATATAAGAAAATTCCAGGCTCACTAAGTGTTAGAGACACATAAGTAAATTTAAGTATGTGCACTTCCTTCAAATGTTCTAATTTTGTAGCCTAGCACTCAGTTTTTGCTATTCCTGATTATTATTTGGTAGCTAACTTGAGCTATGCCCTGAGAATCAGGCTCTATTAATATATGTGGGCTAAGCCTTCAGAGACCATGGGAATGTGGGAACAAATTGACATGTTGGAGCAATCAGGTGTAGGGGGTCATTCCATGGTGAGAATTCTTTCTTGGACTTTTTATTCTAGCCTAGAATTTGTTCTTAATGGTAGGACACACTAAGAATTTGTGGAGCTAGGATTAAGAATGATGCTTACATTGGACTTCCCAGAGCCTGTAATCTGCTCATGGTTGTATAACTCTAAGAGGGGATTAGAATATATACTGTGTCCCAAATTTATTTGATCACCGAATTCTCTTCTGCCAAGGAACATCTTGGAACACTGAGAAATGCTGTTCCTTAATACTTCTCAAAGTTTTTTATGTTTTTTTACCTGCATAATTGAGGTGATGAATAGATAGGATCTATACTTAGTATAGTATTTTCTTTGTTCTAAACTGACACTGAATTGCCAGGAATGCATAGCACTTTCCAGTTCTCAAATGTGTTTAGACTTGCCCAAATAGACCGCAAAATCAATTCTATTTATGAATACATGTCTAATTAGTTCATAAAAGCAATGCATACTTGGTAGAGATTTTTTTGTAAAGATTGAAGGAAAGAGCTGCTTCTGCATGATTCTGGTCCAGTAGTCCTCATACCGAGGTATGAATCATTACTCAAGGTATCACATAGGTGGACAAGGGTATGTTAATAGACAGATTCCTAGGCCCTGATACTAAAGACTTTTAATTCAGTAGGTCTGAGGTAGAATCCAAGAATCTGCATTTTTAATAAGCCCCTCAGGTGATTCTGAAGTATATCGGTGGCAGACTCTGGGAGAAAAAACTGTCTTTTTTCTATGCATTAAAAAATGGGGGTATGTATAGATATTTTATATATATGTAAACATGTTTGTATATGTGTATATATTTAGCACACATGCCTATTTTTGTGAGTAGGTTGACTTCAACTTTTTCTCATTTAACATTATGAGCATTTTCCCATGACATTAACTGTTCTTTGAAAGCATGAATGATTTAATGATTTTATATTCTATTCTTTAGATAGAATTTAACTATTTCCCTACTTTTGGGGCATTGAGATTGTTTTTTATAAATAATACTATTCATGAATATTCCTGGCTATAAATCTTTGTATCTCTGAGTATTTCCTAAAGATTGGTTTCTCTGAAGGTCAAAACATCTGACTTATTTTTTTAGACTCTGGATAAGAATCGCCTACTTGTTTTCTAGCTCACATTCAGCAGCAGCAAGAGAGAGGCCTGTATCTACTTCATGGATAGATGATACAGAATATCATCAAATTATGACCTGACATGTCTCTTCTTCGAGGCATTTGTCTTATGAAGATTATTTTTGCCTCCTTGTGCAATTAATTTTATTATGTCTTGCAACTAGCACATATAATTCAACTGTGATTTCCTTGAATGTTACGCCAATTTAAGAATTTGTCAGTGTTTACTTAAAGGGGTAAAAATCCTCACTGCCTCAAATATGTTCATGACAGATGTACAGTGAAGGTACTTTTGTCTTCACAAAGGTATACATTTGTAGTGAAATGTACCAGTTCTGTCTTTACTAATTGATGGATTTTTCAAGTAATAAAAGTATTTTTTCTTATCTGAGAAGAATAAAAAGGAAATTGTGGTAATGCTTTGAATGCTCTCTCTTGGCAGAACAAAATTTAAGTAGGGCTGGGCTGGGACTTTGGGTAGATCAGGAAATTCTTTTATTAGTAGGAAGTAAACAGTGTTTAAAACTAAAAAATAAATACAACTTTAAACATCTTACGTTTAAAAAAAGGGGGTGGGGGAGAAAATACCAGATGAACAGTTAATAGTGGAAGAAGGGATCCTTAGTAGAAGGTGCAAGGGGTACGGAGAAGGATGGTCAGAGGACCATTTTTTAAAATTTTATTTTGGTATCAATGTACAATTACATGAGCAACATATGGTTATTAGACTCCCATTATCCAGTCCCTACCACATACCCCATTACAGTCACTGAGAGGACTACTACTTTTTATAAGCCCAGTAGTTCTAGTACTGTTTGCTGTTTTGGACCACTTATGTGTGTGTGTTTTCATGTACTTTAAAAATTACATTAAAATACACGCATACAGGCATGATTATTCTGCTCTGAATACTCCTATCAATTGCTGGTCTCCACCTGGGCACTCCAGACTGTTACTCTTGAGCCTTTTTAACATTCCAATCTATTCTCCATTCTGCAAAATGATTTTTTCCAAAATGCAGACCTGCACCTAGCATCCCCTCTACTTGAATTAGTGGCCTTTTTCTTATCTACTCTTTCCAACCCAGTCCTACTCCATAGCCTGACTCATTTTTGCAGCCCAGCCACATGGGCCTCTTTTTAGTCTTTTGTCTGAGGTTTCTGTCATTGCACAGTCTGGACCCAGATTGCTCTCTTAGCCTGGAATGCTCTTTCTCCTCTCCCCAAAGTAACCCTTACTGGGCCTTCCCTTCACAGCTCTGCAGTCTTATCCTCCTGGAAGCTTTCCCAGACTTCACCATCTAGGTAGCATATTCTCACAGCACCTGCACCCCACCTTCCTAGTACTGTCACTTCTTATTTTCATTTTGCTTGCATGAGTATTTGATTGATGTCTCTCTTTCCCATTAGCACTGCTAGCTTCACAAGACAGAACTGTCCCTGATTTTATTTCCCTTTGTATCCTAGCTACTAGCTCAGTGCCTGGAACATATTAGGCACAGAGTAAACGATGGTGATGGGCTCAATTTTCCTTGCCGTCCTGTTACTCTGTTAGAATGCACTACCTCATTCTCCAAAGGATTTTCCCTGATAAAAATTAAAAACCAAGAAAGGAAAATCCCTACCCTTATCTCTGAACTAAAACTGGGGAGGAAAAGAATGGTTGTCTGTGACCTTAATGAGGCAAATCTTTATGAATACTAACTCTGAAACTAGCTTGTTGTCCTAAGATATGTGGATGGGTACTTAAAAGTCAGGGAAAGGTCTGGAAAAGGGAGTTTCTCTGCCTAAGGAATTAAGTCAAAACAAAAGTAAAAATGAATGAGGGAAGAAAGCCAAGTCTTATATGCCAGAGTTGAGCCCTGTGCAGGGTGGGGAAAGGGCAGGAGAACCTTAAGACTCCAAATCTGATGTTCAATTTTATTGTGGCTGTGTTGCTTAAAAGTAAATCCCTCCACTCCTCACAAAATTCTTTGAACTCTGCTAGACACATAGAATTTGGGGATCTCTCCTGCACACCAAATGAGAACAAGTTCTGAATTCCATGACTGGGTTGACCTGGGTGGAAAAGGGAAAACAGGAGTGAGAGAATGAGACAATCCAAAATAAATACAGTTCACAGGACCTGGAGTCAGTCAGAGGCGACCATGAGAACCCAAGTCCCCCAGGAATTTTCAGAATATTGTAAGGAGGGCATTGGCATTTATATAACCTATGGAATGGAGTGGCAAAAAAAGGGTTAAGCCAGTTTCATGTATCTTAAAGGACAGGATAACTCCAGCTGACATCTGGACACAAATACTACTGCATCCTTGACAGACATATTCTAAGGATTAAAAAGTTGTCATATTCAGGATGATAAGGAAGTTGTGGGGTGGGGTGCCTAAGTTTATCCAAAGTAAAAAATATTCCCACTCCTAAATAAACATAGCTGAAAAACACCGCTGCTCAGGTGTCAGTGTGCTAATTACATTCAGCAGACATGGCAGGTACAAAGATTAAATTCACCCTCGAAAAAGTAAAAGGGGAAAGGTGAGGGATCAAGTTTCCCAGCTATATAAGCCCCCCGTAACTGCCAGAAACTGTTCCAGGCAGCTTCAGGTAGAGCTAAGCAGGGTTTAGTTCAGTGCCACCAAAGGAAACCAAGGTTATTTTGTCTAGGTTGTTTTCTACATTGTTGTGGCTTCCAGAGATCATAGGCTTGTCTGAATAAGATCATGTCCCCATCAGACATCCTGGATTGGAATTGACCTTGTAGAAGTGCCCATGACTGGGTCAGTCCCCAAATTCTGTTCCCATCTGGCTTACAAAGGGCCTTGCCACGGAACACATCTTTGTATAGCTAGCAGATACTGGAACATGATCAGTTTCCTCCCCCACATGTCTATACAGAGAGGCAGACTAGCCTCCTTCAGTGGCCTTCCAACTAGGATATTTGTACTCCTGGGGATATGCAAAGAGTTTTTTAAGGATACACAGGCTTGCTTTCAAATGACATATTTCCTAGAATTAATCTTCCTGAGAATAGTGGAGGCAAAGGGTCTTACTGGTTCCATTGTACAGTGCTCCAGGATACAAAAGAAGAAAATAATCAAAATATTGGTATTGGGGTTGAAAACACAAATGATTAGGTAACAATTTGTTTTGCAAGTTGGGTAGTTTCTAATTCGTTGCTTTGGACAGAACTGAAGGAGGAGCTAATCAAGTCCAGATCAAGGAGTATCTAATCTATCCAATAACACATTTTTTAACTGCTTTATTGAGATATAATTCACATACCATACAATTTAATGTTTTTTCATATATTCAGAGTCATGCCACTATCACCACTATCAATTTTAGAACATTTTCATAATCCCCAAAAGAAACTGTACTCTTTGGCAGTCACTCTCACTTCCCTTCCAAACCCCACAGACCTGAGCTACTTTCTACTACTAATATACCTTCTGTCTCTCTAGATTTGCCTATTCTGGACATTCCTTTATAAATTGAATCATATAATATGTGGCCCTTTGTTACTGCCTTCTTTCACTTAGCACAATGTTTTCAAGATATATCCATGTTGTAGCTTAGATCAGTACTTCACTCCTTTTTTTGGCCAAATAATATTCCTTTGCATGGATATACCAATTTTATTTATCCATTTATTAGTTGATCCAATGACATATTATTAAAAAGATTTTTTACAGTATACTTACATCAGGAATGAAAAGGGAGACATTGCTACAGATCTTATAAATATTAACAAGTTAAAAGAGGATACTATAAAAAACTAATTTTAGATAAAATTAAACTTGCTTAAACACAATTTGTTATAACTGGCACAACAAATAATACTGAACTATTTAGATTTTCTGTTTATTAAAGATACTGAATGTGTGATTAAAGCCCTTCTTGTAAAAACAAACAAGGCCCAGATGATGGTTTCACTAGTTAATTATTTTAAACAATTTAGGAAGAAATAAACCTTTCTTCCACAGACACTTCCAGAAAATAGAAAAAAGAGGGAACGCTTCCCTCTTTTTATGAAGTTAGTATAACCTTGATGCCAAAACTTAAGGACATTAAAAGAAAGGAAAATTATAGACTAATCTCTTTCATAAAAACCCCAAAGAAAATAATCAGCTAATTGAATCCAGTGACATATAAAAAGAAGAAGACATCTTGAAAACAGAGTTTATGCAATGAATGGAAGGGTGTTAACATTTGAAAATATTATTTACCATATTAACAATATAAATGGGGAAAAAGCAAGATGATCTCTATATGTACAACATTTTTTTGATAAACTTTAATAGTCATATGTGATAAGAACTCTTAGCATATTAGGAGCAGGAGAAAATGCCCTTAATCTGATAAAAACTATCTGCAAGAAAAAAATACAGTGAGTATTATATATATTTAATAATAAAATACTGAAAGCTCTCCCCTTGGGATAAGAAAGAGACAAGGATGCTCACTTAATGCCACTTCTCTACAACATTGCTTTGAAGGTCTTAGCCAATGCAATAAAGCAACACAAATGAATGAACAGTATAAAGATTGGAAAGGAAGAAATAAAACTTTCATTATTAGCAGATGATATGATTATGTGCATAGAATATCAGAAAGAATAAGCAGATAAAACTGTAGGATTAATAAGTGAATTTAGCAAGGTTGCTGAATACTAAATCAGTATAAAGAAAATCAATTTTGTTTCTATATTCCAATAACAGATGGCAATTTTTTAAATGACACATTTTACTGGAGCATCAAAACAATCAAAAAGCTAGGAACAGATATACAGAAAAAATATAAGACTTCACCATTGTAAATTTTGAAACATGACATATATTAAAGAAGGCTCAAATACATGGAACAGTATACCATGTTAATTAATAAATTTAGAAGATTCAGTGTTGGAAAGATGCTATTATCTCTAAATTTATCTAGTTTTACTGCAATCCCAATCAAAAGTTCTGCAGGTTTTCATGTATATATATAATGGTGAATTGATAAGCTATTTATAGAATTTATATGGGCATGCAAAGGACCAAAAATAGAAAAATCTTGAAAGAACAAAATTAAAAGACTTAACACTAACAATTATCACAACTTATTGTAAAACTACAATCATTAAGACAATGTGATATTGTTTTAAGGAGGACAAATAAACAAATGGGGTAGAATAAAATCCAGAAAAAAACCTCACATATCATATGGTCACTTTATGACAAATATGAAATTCTTATGCAATGGGGAAAAGATAGTCTTTTCTATAATTGGAGGGTCAATCAGATATCCATAATGAAAAATAAATACCTTGGTTCCTACCTTAAACAATACATAAAAATGAATTCTAGATGGATTTTATATATAAATGTGAGGATAATATAGAATAGCTCTTTGACTTGGGTAGGCAAAGATTTCTTAAG